CCTTCTACAGGTGCTCCATTCCATAGAGAGGCCTGACCTTCTACAGGTGCTCCATAGAGAGGGTCCTGACCTTCTACAGGTGCTCCATAGAGAGGATCCTGACCTTCTACAGGTGCTCCATAGAGAGGATCCTGACCTTCTACAGGTGCTCCATAGAGAGGATCCTGACCTTCTTCCTGACCTTCTACAGTGCTCCATAGAGAGCATCCTGACCTTCTACAGGTGCTCCATAGAGAGGATCCTGACCTTCTACAGGTGCTCCATAGAGAGGTCCTGACCTTCTACAGGTGCTCCTAGAGAGGATCCTGACCTTCTACAGGTGCTCCATAGAGAGGGTCCTGACCTTCTACAGGTGCTCCATAGAGAGGATCCTGACCTTCTACAGGTGCTCCATAGAGAGGGTCCTGACCTTCTACAGGTGCTCCATAGAGAGGATCCTGACCTTCTACAGGTGCTCCATAGAGAGGATCCTGACCTTCTACAGGTGCTCCATAGAGAGGATCCTGACCCTGCACCACCCTCAATCGTAAGGCTTTACAGAGGGTGGTGAAAACTGCACAGAACATCACCAAAACGGAGCTGCCATCCATGGAGGACCTTTACTCCCAGCGGCTCAGGAAGAAATCCCTCCGGATTAAGATTAAGACCCCCATCACCCCAGCCACAAACTGTTCTGTCTGCTGCCGTCTGGCAGGCGGTACCGCAGCATCCGGACTAAAACCACCAGACTCAGAGACAGTTTCAATCCACAGGCCATATAAGACTGCTAAACACCTGAACTTCAATGTTTTGTTTATGTATTCATTACTCAACTATATATATATTGTATTTATAAGGTATGAGGTATTTTTAAGATTATCAGAGACTTTAAATATACAGGGTAAAATGATTCAAACATTTTAAACAAATAAAATACAACTTAAAAGATAAAACACCAAATATCAGTTTCAATTTGAGATCAGAGTATAGACATGTTGGTGCCGTGTCAGTTCTGTTTGGGGAGGGATTTCAAGAGGGATGGGTTAGCTAAGGAGAAGGCTATGTCCCCCAAGGTCCACAAATTATTTTTGATAAAATTGTTTCCCCTCCAATAACCATCCTCTGTTGACTATAAGGCACACAGCTAAAGCACATCATTCCAAAATCTATCAGTATTTAATGTCACGTTCTATTTTTTGCCATAGCCTAAACTAGCTTAGGCCGCTAATAATAGCAACAGCCAAACTCCATTAACTTTGTTTCTAGGTTGCCACGAAAGGTAGCACCCCTGACAGGGAAGGAGTCCCCTGTCATTCATCAGCTAGAGCCAGGCAGTGGTTCAGTGTTTCAGTGTTTCAGACCTCATGACGGGGCCTCAGGCTACAAGAGCAGAATTAGAGCTCACCACAGGACTTCCTGTCAGAGGCAGAGGTTCAGGATCAGGCCTCCGATGCATAATGGAACACCTGTGTAGCTCTTATGGCCCACTTTTAGTGGGGATACTCTTGTAGGAGCCATGAAACATGTATAGTAATTTGTTTTGTTTTAATATAAGATATTTGTTTTATCACTATTGATTGGTTGGCTTGGGTCACATGGATATGGGCGGCACTCATTATAATCCTGTTCCCCTGCGTGAGGTGGGTGTGTGGAAGAGAGGGTGACACAGGGCCGTTGTACTTTTTGTTGACCGCAAGATTTATGATTGCTTTGATCATTATTATTACAATAACTATGTCTGATCCCCGCATATTTTTCATTAAACTACATTACAATTCAACAGTGTTTTGATCACAGCAAATACTCTTTTTTTAGCGTGTCATACAATATCAAACAGGCCCGGCCACAGCCTCTCAGCGACTTTGTTTGTTTCCTGCTGTCGCTATAACTCAGGTAAAAGTCCTGTATTCCAAATGTTACTCAAGTACAAGTACAAAAGTATTGACATCCAAGTATACTTTGTACAAAAAGTAAAAGTACTCATTATACAGATTGCCCCATACTATAATAATATGTATCATATGTTTTAATTATAATTATTAATGTGTTATCAAGGGTTTAAAGGGTTGTTTATATTTCATATTATTTATAATCCAAATCTGCAAATTAACTAAAGCCTCTGAATTGTAATAGGGTAAGTAAAAAGTAGCGACAAATTGGAATACACAAGAAAAGTACTTTCCCTCAAAGGTGTATTTAAGTACAGTACTTGAGTAAATGTACTTACACAACTGCCTGCTGGTGGATCATCATTACTATCATTACATTACAATGTTCCTTATAAAAGCTTCTACCAAAAGCAACTTCCATATACTTAATACTGTGGACAATTCCCTCAGGAGTAGTTTGGTGTATTGCCCAAGGACACTGCAACATAATCAGTAGATGACAAGGTCGAATGTAATCACTTTTTCTTTTACACCTGTTTTTTGTTTTGTTTTAACCAACATTGCATTTATTTCTTCTGCGTTCTTGGGGAGCAGAAGTCAAAGGTAGAAGATAAACAGTATGTTATAACATCTCAATAATTATATTAAAAATGATATTTTACTTTAAAACTTCACAACCATAATTGCATTTACTTTCATGTTTTTTTTTATTTCTATAATGCTTTAAAAACTAGGTCAGGAACATTTCCACCATAAGCTGATTGCATTTATCCTTTATCTGTCTTTTCCCCCTCCGTCTCAGGGTATAAAGGACGATGTGCTGGATACATAAAATGCAGGGGGAAATATCAGAAACACCATATCAAAGCAGACCTGACTTGAAAGAATCTCTATTAAAATTACAAAAGGCTTCAGGGAAGTTTTATTAACACGTCACACCTAAACTGCAAAAGTCAAAACAAATGGCAAAGGAATATGCAAAGCTGTTAAAAAGCATTAAAAAAAATCTCTATTTCATTTGATATTTGACGACCAAACACACATGTCCAAGGCTCTGAGGGCTGACATGCTTTATCACCGCTCAAAGTGAACATCGTCTTTAAGCTTCATTTACATAATCACTATTTTTGCTCTGGCATGGACACATCCGTTTTCTGAGAGTCTCTTGGTTCCTCGACAACGCATACACCATGGCCCCCAGCGGGGCGAAGATAGCCAGGGATTTGATCACAGCCCCTAACACTTTGATCCAGAGTCCAGAGTCTGCTGATTTTCCTGGGACGAAGAGAATCGTGCGGGCATGGCTTTCTTCCTCACTTAATGGGTTCTTCATCCTGCAGGTGAAGGTTTTCACGTGTCCATGCACTTCCTCGATGATGTCCTTCTGCAACTCTTTCCACTCTCCGTCCCCCGTCTTCCAGCTGTAGGTGACGGGTCCGGCCCCGGTGGTGTCCCCTTCACAGGTCAGCTTACAAGGGCCTCTGGCTGTCAGAGGGGAGACCCTCACTTCCGGCTTGGGAACGTGTTTGATCATTACAGCTTTATATGTCTCACCTTGGACCTTGTTGTTAATCTCCACTGAATACACACCCTCGTCAGCTTTGGTCATGTTCTTGATCATCAAACGTCCAGTGTGTATATCCAGGGTGGCTGTGGCTATGTAGTAATACATACTTTCACAACAATCTACGTTACACATCCAGAGGATGCTGGTGATACTTTTGGAAGGAAAAGGCCTCAAGTACAACGTCAGACTGTTGCCCTCTTTGAAGTATATCTGTGTTTCTTGAGTAAAAGACGAGCTGAGCTCCACCAACAGCAGACAAAGCACGACCACTTTCTCCATGTTCACAGCTCAGTGCCGGACTGCAAGACTTTTTGATTTCACATCAGCTTCAGTCTATCAGTTTCTGTCACCAAATTACGCCGACAGCATTTCCTTCCTCTTTTTCAGAAGACTAATCTTCTTCTTTTGAAAAAGAAAACAACAAATGGGCAGAACCTCTAAAATCGTAGATGTAACCATCCCACTTAGGCCTTTTCACAAACTGCTTTCTCTTTTACGACAATCAGACATTGAAATATTCTTTCAGCTGATCTTTAAACCTTTTCACACCTTTTCCCGTATAGTGCAAACATCACTTAGTCTTGCCAACATAAATGTTACTGCAATTTCAGATGTTTGTTTAATTGAATTGCAAAATTATATTTATATGACAAATGTACTAGTATTTATATGTTATACATCTGTATTTAATCTATTTGATTTGTTATTGTGAAATGTTTTGATTGTTTGTTGAGTGTAATGTGTGTAGGGACTACAGATGGAAATGAGCTTTAGCTATAATCTGGCATGTACTGTATATAGCATCTCTTCTCTTCTTGAGATGTATGAATTTGTATTCATGGTCCTTGTTCAATAAAGATATATAAAGCAAAACAAAAAGATTATGCATGGGAAAAAGAACTTGTGTTTGAAATGTATTCTCAGAATTCAGAATTGTACGCCAAATGCTGTAATAAAAAGTATATATGTATGAAATGAATAATATATTAAATTGAAAAATTGAAAAAAACAAAATGGCTTTCGAAAGTTATCGCCAGGCCTCGGTTGTTTGCTGCTGTTGAACGGACATTGGTATTCTCTTCAACCTTTAAAATGTTCTTTGCAGCAGAAGTATAACAATTTAATCAATAAATTGATGTCAAATGATTGTATTGTGTTAAATGAGTCATCTATTGTAATTTGCTGTATAACACTACCCACATTCCCAGCAACATTCTCCTGTGTCGTCTCCAAATATAAACTTACATGTAGTAGCACTTCCTCTCAGGGCCTCGCTGGCCGAGCTGCGGTAGACGGCAAAAACAGCCACCTGGTACTCCGTCAGAGAGTTCAGGTAATTCAGCTCCACACTGTTCTCTGTTCCCTGCACCACCTTAAACACAGATCACACAGGGTGTTAGCATGAAAGCTGCAGAACTGCTTTACACTCAGATATGAAGATCGTACAGTCTTAGTATTAGTTTTGGCATTTCTAAAATGTTTCAGTCTGTCAGCAAGCTAGTTTTTTTGCCATGATTATTGCTGTTAATTATTTCAGCTACATCTCTGATATTTAAAAAATACTTTAATTAGCTCTGGTTCTGCAACCCTTTGGAAGACAGCAGCATTACAGTATGTACATCACAAATCATTGAATTATCCAAAAATGTGGTGTTTACTGGGGAACTTCATGTTGCTGTAGGCATTCGGCTCGTCTCCAAAGAGATTTAAATTGAGTGTAACTAGATCAGATAAGCTTTGATGAAACCTCAGTGTTCCTTGTGGGGAGACCGGGGCCATTCCAGCTGCACGTTATAATCCACATCAAAGGGACAGTGGATACAAATGAGAGGGAACTGTATAAGCATAAATATCAACTCAGAAAATTACAGCGATGCGTATTTGCAGTTATACAGGTAGGAAAACTTCCAACAACTTTTAAATCAATTTACCGCACAGGTTGTCAGGTTCCTACAGACAGACGACACTCAGACAGTTTATTAGGTACACCTATAGCTTAAATGATTGTACTCTGAGATCGATTCACACAGCATTATTACCAACGTCAGACTTAATGTGGTTTAGAAATAAAAACCTCTAATCTTGATGGGCTGATTTGGACTGGATAATCTAAGTCTGTATTTTACCAACACTATTCCCCTGATATGATGACAAGGCTTTGAGTGAAAGCTTTAAAAGGCAAAGAGAAAACCACAAACTTTGCAAAGAAACAAAAAAAAAAATCTGAGATGCCAACGATATGGGACTTTCACTAATTACACGATTCATATAATAATAATTATGACAAATGATGCATTTCTAAAGAGAGCTGATTCTGGTATTTAGCCTGACCTCATTTATATAAATAGGGTTTAAACAAATGTAACCTGTCTGCATCACATATTGGATCAAAGCGGCAGGGGGTTCTGGAACACTTTCTGATAGCAGAATAAAGTTTTGAAATGTTGGTGGGCATGGTGTAAAGAACCTGTAGAATTGTTACTTTTCACCTAAAAACCTATTGAAGTAAATCCTTACACACTTAGCTGAGCAGCCTCTATTAAAGTCCTGTCACTACATCAGTAATTAAGCGTTTTTGTTATCGTCTGCTGGGAATACAGAAACAAAGTTACACCAATTAAGAGACTGTAAGGAAACCCACTCTCATATTTGACGAGAAGCAAGGGACTCAGATCTACCACATAGTAACCAGAGAGTTGTAAAACAACTCCAATGAAACTTAAATTCTTCTGGCATTGACAAGATCCTTGTGGCAAAAAAAAACAACTTCTATCAGCAACCAAGTGCAAGAAGTATGAGAATCACAGGAGTTAGTGCAAGAATACATGTAAACTGTAGTGATCATGTAAGAGAATGTAAAACATAAAGTCATTTCCATCCTTGTGTTATAGATTTAAAAAGTAAATATTGCAGGTACTTTTTCTTCCGGCTGTCCTCCACTGGCTGGGTAGTAGACCACGCGGTATTTCTCCACCTGGCCCGACGCGTGCGTCCATCTCACCCGGAAGGTGCGGGCAGTGATCTCTGATGTCACCAGGTCGCGGGGCGGCTCCATAGAGGTGGGTTGGGGGTCAGGTTCTCTTCCCACTGGAGAACAAGCAGAGAAAAATAAAGAAAACATCTATTTCATGTTGGATTTACTCTCAAATGTTGAAATACTTAACGGACAAAATAAACAAAGAGTGGGATTATATCGAACAAATGGAATAATATTAATATTAATAATTGTAATAATATAGTATAGTTTGGTATATCGTGCATTCGACAGAGTTATTTGAAATGTATTATTATTGTTATCATTATTATTAATGTTCATGTTTTTATAGTTATTTATATATTGTATTTTATTTATTTATTTTATTTGTCCACATGGGAAGATTTGGTATGCAATTTAAAGATAAGGTATTCATTGTGACAGTTATCTTTTTTCCTCTTATTTATTTGTATCTCGTCTGTTCTTCATTCAAAAGAAACAAACAAACTAGAGGAAAATAAATGG